GCCCGGGGCGGGGGGGGTTGTGCGGTCCGCCGGGGTGGTGGCCGGGGCTGGGGACACCCCGGCTTAAGGCAGAGCCGGGCAGGCGCCGGAGCAGCCGGACATTTGGGCCCAAAGCCTGGCGTTGGAGGAAATCGTCTTGGAAAAAACGAACGCCGGGTGCAGCAGCTGGTGCGAGGGACAAGGCGTGTGTCCCGCTCCGATCGCTGGGGCTTTATCCCGATCCCCGCGGCTGTCTCGGCTGCCGTCGGTGCAAACAACCTAAGGAGAAAACTATGCGAGGGGGCATGCGGAGGGAGGGGAAGGTGCTGGTTCGATGCTGGTTGTCTGCATAGATTAGTCGCTGTGCTCCTTGCTCAGCAGCTTGAGGAAAACATGGTCCCACCATCTGTGCGAGGTGCTGGTGGGGGGCTGGCCTTCCTCTCCCAGGCCGCCGAGCCAGTCCTTCCCAGCGGCCGCGACAAGGCCCTCGGCTCGATTGGGTGAGTGTTCGGCAAGTTCTCGGCAAGCACCACGATCTTTGCACTGACAGTCTTGCCACAGACCTGAAAAAACAAATTCCCCCTTACTGAGAAAGAAAGAGTTGGTGAAGAGCTGCTGTTGGCACCTGGTTGTGTTTCACAGCGGTACATGGGGAGCCTGAAATTGCTTAATCGGGGAAGCGCTGCAAAAACTCTAGTGCTGTGTATGAAATAACTGTATCACCCGTGCCTGAAGCGTTTTCCCACTTCATTCTCCTGAGCCTCCCCGTGTCCCTGCGCAGCTCCAGCCAGGCTTCCAGGTCTTGCAGGGACCTACTGAGACGGGGAACCGCTTCCAATTCATGTGCTGTTTGCTGAGATGTGAATTCTTTTTATTAACTTGAGGCTGCATCTTTTGCTGTGTGCTTTTAGGCTAAAATATCTCCTTCATATTGGTGCAGATCTGGAGCCCGCACAAGTTGGGTCCTTGTTAATTAAACAGCCTGCTAAGGTGCTGATTTCACCTAGGTCTGGCTGTAAGCATTAACACTGCTTTGCTTTATTCGTTGCAGATTTTCATAAATAACGAATGGCATGATGCAGTCAGTAAGAAAACCTTCCCTTCTATCAACCCAGCAACAGGAGAAGTTATCTGCCAGGTTGCTGAGGGCGATAAGGTAAATGTTCTCTTCATGAGATCGGTTTGTTTTCCACCTGAGCAGATACAGAGGGATTGCAGAGGAAGACCCTAACTCATCTCTCACCGAGGCAGCTCCGCCAAGTGCTGCACTAGCAGTAATAAGTGTCTGACCTATACAAATACCATGTCAAGTGCTGCTTGTGTTCTTCCAAGTGCTGCTTTCAGCAAAAAACCTCTGGCTTTGCCTCTTACCAGTGTCAAGCCGGAACTGGGAAGGGTGGAGAGGAACAGATGTGGCGCGGAGTGGAGCCTGAGTTGGGAGGTTGGGGAGCAGTCGTGTGTGGAGGTTGCTGGGGTAAGCAGGGATGAAGGCAGGCGCCTTTGCGGTCCCGTGGGTGCTGTGCTGGCGGTATGATCCAGAGCCACAATAGCAGAGGAGACAAAAGGTCAGGATTCACCTGAACAGCCCCTTTCTGCTGTACACATGCAGTGGGAGACCATCCCCAGCCCTAGGAAATTAAAAAAAGAAAAAGAGAAAGAGACAGTGGGGAATAGAGTCATGTAATCATCCCATGCCTCAGGCAAGGCCCTCCAGAAGTCTGTGGCAGAGCTGAGGTGGTGTTTCCCGTTCTTCCTACAGTCTGGAAATTTGTTTGTGTTCCCCAAGGGAGGGGTGAGTGAGGGAAACCCTTTGTTGTTTGCTTGTCCATGGTAGAGTGGCTTGTCGTGGCGAGACCATTACAGCAAGCCAGAACAGAGAACTGAGTAGAAACCAGTTAATGCCCTGACAGGACAAAATGATGGATTAGAGATATCTGATCAAGGAAAAACTCCTTTAGACTCTGCTGGCGAAATCAAGTCCTGAAAGAGTGTCAAAAGCACACTTCTAGGGCTTTTGCCATGCCTTGCTCTAGGATGCAAATATTAACCCAGCAGATGACATCGCAGAAATAACCTGACAATATTTGCACTCCGCATAGCTGAAATAAGAGAGCGTAAGCACAGGTGGTGGTGGTGGCTGCACAGCTGTTGCACCCATCTGTTTCACTGCCACTTCTGCTCCCTCTTCCTCACGGATGCAGATTGGGTGAGAAAGCCGCAGCTGGTCCAGCACCAGTGTTTGTGCTGAGGCTGTGCAGCTGTACAGCGCTGCTCAGGTTGATGCTTGTGGGGCAGGTGGCTCAGGGGCTGCAGCCTGTGCGCTCCCCTGCCCTGGGACCAATGAGTGTCTTGCAGCGAGGCAGCTGTCAACGTTGCAAGTTCTTGCCCCCAAAAAGGCTGGCACTAGCAGCCACTCGTGCCATATGGCTGAAGGCTGTTTTCTCCTAGAGAGCAGGGAGGGCTTCAACTGTATTTTGAGAGTGAGTAGGAGCTGGTTACTCCTTTCTCACACTCTTGCCTGGACTCCTCCGCAGGCAGATGTGGACAAGGCCGTTAAGGCGGCCAAGGCAGCTTTCCAGCTGGGCTCGCCTTGGAGGAGGATGGATGCTTCTCATCGTGGGAAGCTGCTGAATCGTCTTGCTGACCTGATCGAGAGGGACCGGGCTTACCTGGCGGTGCGTATCATGCTCTGTGGCTGAGCTGTCTGCTGTGATCCCCAGCTGTGGGGAGAGAGAGGCAGAGATGGTAGTTTGTGCCCGTTGGGTGTGATGGGGACTTTAGCCACAGCTAAAACTGTGAAAGAGTGCTAAAAAGGATGGAGAAGTAGTTTTGGGAAGCTGAAAGCAAAAACGCCAACAGGCAGAACAGATCCAAACTGCGAACCGAGATTCAAATCTAAATCTATATGCATGACTCTCCCCACCTCGCTCTTCAGGCAATCTCATTGTCTTTTGTAGGCGCTGGAGACTCTGGATAATGGCAAACCGTACTCCATCTCCTACCTGGTGGATTTGGACATGGTAGTCAAATGTCTCAGGTAGGCGTGGAGGGAATGGTGACAGCGCAGTAACTCTTCATGCTTCACGCTTGTGCTCAGCTGGCCTGTGGTAGCTGAACCTCTGCAGGTGCAGAGAGCAGATGCCTCTGATTCAAGTGTTGTGGGTGACAGGGCTGGATCTGACCTGTTGGTTTCATTTGGCCCATAGCAGGGTGTCAGACACCCTGTTTTCCTCTAATTTTATTTTTTGCTAAGAATGAGGCTGTAATTCCTGTGACTTTCCAAAGGATTTTTGTTAAATCTATGTTTCTCTCTTGCTATATACAGGACTCACACTACTGGAGGTGATCTGTGTTACAGCACGAGAATGACAGAATTTATGTTATGCAAAGTGCTGGCAAAGGCAGGAGAGACAAATGTTTGTATTTACTGTCTATTGTTAAAATCACCTGTTTGGGAAATATTTGTATTGGTATGTGTTTTATGAAGTGACTGAAGAAGGGAGGCAAGCAAATAGCTGGAGGAAGTCTGTCTTGTTTTCTATTGACAGGAGACTTGTTATTTTAAATTCAGTGACCAAAACTTTATTGTTGTTAGATACTTTGCAGGCTGGTCTGATAAATTCCATGGCAAAACCATCCCGTTAGACGGAGACTTCTTCTGTTACACAAGACATGAGCCAGTGGGAGTTTGCGGGCAGATAATCCCGGTGAGTAAAATGTATCAGTAGTTCCTGTAGCATTTCAAGAATGCAGTGTTACCATGAAGAGTTGTCTTAAACTGCAAGTTATTAGCTGCTGTTAACAACTGCTTCCTTCCAGTGGTAAAGAAAGTTATGCTTGCACCAGCTGGGAGGGCTGGTGCTTTGCTCTGGCAGTATAGAACTACCTGATTTCATGGGCTCTGAGTAAGATTTACTTTGTATCTGCTGATTAAAAAAAAAAAAAAAAAGAATTTAAACCCCTTTGTAAGAGTTATCTGGCTCAGAACGACAATTAAGTTTAAACTACTACCTAGCATTAAAACCAAAATTCTGTGTGATGAGGAAATACAGAGCTAGCATGCAAAATTTAGCTTTATGTACGTGATCTTATCTTGGTAACTGGTAGCAAGCGTAGCAAGGTGGTTTGTCAACAACAAAGCCATATTTATACAATGATCTGTGGACAGTGTTACCTCTTTATAGGAGTAGCCAGATTCTGATTGTTGCGTACTGTATTTGCATGTTTTTCTTATCTGCATTGAGCAAGAACTGAATATAAACGCCTCACCAGTCTGCGTGTGCTGCCCTGTCATTACAAACAGGCTTTCTTTCAAAATGCCTCAAAAGATCATTTAATGGCTGAAGTGACAGTAAAGATTAATTCCAAAAAAAGTTAGGGTTTTGCAGTGGTACTGAGAGGCCTCACACTTCAGAGTACAGTTTTCCTGGACAAGCAGAAGGCAGTGTTTGAAAAGGAGCCAAATGTTGAAGAACAGCTAGGGAAAGATCAAAGACTGCTTCTGTAGGTGCTGCAGCTGATTTGAACGAAGCTCACTGGTTACTTACTGATTAATCGGAAACTTTCAAGTTCAGACCAGCAAATATCTCCTTGTTTTTCAGTGGAACTTCCCGCTGTTGATGCAAGCGTGGAAACTGGGGCCTGCCCTGGCGACTGGGAATGTGGTCGTGATGAAAGTGGCGGAGCAAACCCCCCTGAGTGCTCTCTATGTAGCTAACCTGATCAAAGAGGTGAGCGAAAAGGCTGGGTTTGCATCAGCTGTCTCGCTGTCACTGCTGGAGCACAGCGTGGTACAGCCACACTGGTGAGCTGTGGAGGGCAAGTGACAGGAACAGAGAAGGGCTGTCTGATCCGAAGAAAGGCTGGATTGTCTTGGGTATCTTAGCATTTGATTTGGCAAAAAAACCCCTTGTTCCTTACAAATGCTTATGCAGAGGACATAAATCTTGATTAGGGAAGGACTCTTTGAGGTTCAGTTAAATAAACTATAGGGTGATTAGAAAGCTAACATACATAGCTCCAAACTATGCTTAGGATGTGGGGTGGGTAGAGGAGTTGTCCTGGTTATTGCAAACTGTACCTTAAAACTAAAGACCTGGGAAATTAAAGTGAAATAGAAAAGGCTCTGTTCTTCATGGGAGGCCTACTGAAGCATTAATAACAGATCAGGGTAGGTGAAATCCTTGATGATAAAAGGAATAACATTGCTCTCTCCTGCTGTGAACCGGCAGGCTGGATTCCCACCAGGTGTGGTGAACATCATCCCCGGCTATGGGCCCACTGCAGGGGCTGCCATCTCTTCTCACATGGATGTAGATAAAGTGGCCTTCACTGGCTCCACGGAGGTAAGGGAGTACCTTAACTTTTAAGCCCTTGGGATATAGAGAATATCTCATTGCTGTTATACCTTTTCTATATAAGATACTGGAGGTGCCTTGCCTTCTACACTTCTTTTTAAAAAACACAGCTGACTTCAGGGTGTGACATTTACTTTTACTTTACATAAGATTCTTCTTAGGTGCCTTCTCTAGAATACTTACTATTGTTTCCCTTGAGCTGCTTCCTACTAGAGGTGAAACTCTGGGCAGACTTCAGTTGTTCCCTTAAAGCCCTGACAATGAAGGGATTATTATTAAACTGCTGACTGAGATCTAAAACAAGCTGCCCTGCCAGGTGTTGCTATATGTAGGATTTAATTCCGAATACCTGTTCTTCTCATGATGCAGGTTGGGCATCTGATCCAGAAGGCTGCAGCAGAGAGTAACCTAAAGAGGGTGACACTGGAGCTTGGAGGAAAGAGTCCAAATATAATCATGTCTGATGCAGACAGTAAGCACCTGCTAGTGTAATATTCGATCTGTACCTTTTACATTGGCTTTCTGCAAGCAGAGCTGGAGGGGAAAGGAAACCTCTCCTGTGTTCTATGAGTCTCCAGCTCTGACACCACCTGGCTGTTCTCACCCAGTGAAGTCTCCTTGCCTCCTGCTGTAGCTGCCCTATTTGTGTATCAGCACCTCTTCACTCCCACTTCTTTCTCAGTGCTGTGAAGAAGTTAAGTTATCAACAAAGGAGCATTGTTTCAGTATCTTCCTTCAGTCTTAGTTCCATTTTTGTTTTAATTTCTTTCTCTTTCTCTTAGTGCGTACCACTCTTTTCTAGTCTTAGGAAGTTCTGGTTCCCTCATCGCTTGCATATAGACTCATTTTTGGTCTTGATGAGCCAACACACATGCTTTTATATGGCAGTAAGGAAGGAAATTCTTCTAGATCTAAAATAACTTGTCCTTAATACCTGATAATTTCAAATGAGAACTGTAATCTGCCTCAGATTAGATTTTTTTCTCTAGTATGGGGTGCTTTAGTAGTCCCTCATACTAATTAAATATGTATGGAACTTCTGCCCTACCAAAGCATGGAAAATGCCTGTCAACAGAAAGGACTTTGTATCACTGATACTCCAGCAGTCTGCATGATAGTCCTTCAGAAGAAGTCACTTACTGACTCTGGTTGGTTTTATTTGCTTATTTGTTTTCTCTCCTCTCCCCAATCTTAGTGGACTGGGCTGTGGATCAAGCCCATTTTGCCCTCTTCTTCAACCAAGGGCAGTGCTGCTGTGCTGGATCCCGAACATATGTCCAGGAAGATATATATCATGAGTTTGTGGAGAGGAGTGTTGAGAAGGCCAAGTCTAGGGTGGTTGGAAACCCATTTGACTTTAAAACTGAACAGGGGCCTCAGGTAAGAGCAGGAAATGTCCTGAACTGTTATGTCATGAAATAGTCCCAGTCTTGAGTCATTGTGCATTAGTAGATTAGAATGAAATGTATCCTTTGGTCTCTTGATTAATCTGCTTTGAACTGTGCCCATTATCTCCTTGCTTGTGCAGGAGGGAGAAGTTAATTAACCATTCTGATGATTCCAAAACCTCCACTCGATGCTGGCATTTAAAAATTATCATCTCCCTTTGAAGCTGGCTTGGCAGTCTGTTGAAATGAGGAATTGCTAGAGCACAGTCGCATGCACAGCAGGTTGTAGTCGAATCTTTTTTTACCCCCAGTAAAGGTGAAGCTGATCTGTCTGTCCTCATGGCTCTTAGGTAGATGAAGAGCAGTTTAAGAAGATCCTTGGTTACATTAGTACTGGGAAGCGTGAAGGAGCCAAACTGCTGTGTGGTGGCAACCCCGCTGCAGACAGAGGCTATTTCATCCAGCCAACTGTCTTTGGCGATGTGCAGGACAACATGACGATTGCCAGAGAGGAGGTGAGACCTGCAGTGCCTTTCTGTCTGTCAGCTTCTCACTTCTCCATCATTTTGCCCCCTCTGATGCAAAAAACCACAGGTCTACAAGCACTGGACGTTCATGAACTGCAAAACTCGACGCTTCTTAGAAAGTTACCACATTAAACTTCCCTCCACATTACATCCTGGGCTTTTCGTAATATGGGAAGTGATACTTTGAATTTGGTGTCCTGTGTGACTTCCACCATATGTACATACCTAACTCCAGCATCAACCACAGCCTCCCCCATGATCAATTTACACAGATTTTCACATGCTGTGTTTGGATTTTGCAGATATTTGGGCCAGTCATGCAGATTCTGAAATTCAAAACAATTGAGGAAGTCATTGAGAGAGCAAATGACTCCAAGTATGGCCTAGCAGCAGCAGTTTTTACAAAGGATCTTGACAAAGCAAACTATGTGTCACATGGCCTGCGAGCTGGAACAGTTTGGTGAGCCTTGACACCTCCTTCTCCCTAAACTGCTAGAAGCTTTCTTGTGTGCTGTCATTTCTCATTAAGCTTGCTCTTCGATAGCCTGTCTCTAGTTTGGATCCAACTTTACATGTACTTCACTGAACATAATGTCAGACCTTCAGTTGTAATACTAACTGTTGGTAAAATTTAGGTACATTAAGCTTCCGTGCTCCCACTGTGAATTAAGGAATGGGTTGGGGGAAAAGAAATCCAGGACTGCAGCTGGCAATGACAGCAACTGCTGCAGGGCTCTGAGTGACAGCAGTGATTAGATCACCAAGCACGTCTGTGCTGTCTTGGCTGCTGCAGCGGATGTTTCTCTGTGTCCAGAGGCTGTGCTGAAGACTATGCCAAAGTCAGTGCTTCAACACCAGTTTACTGTTCTAGCATGAGATTTTGGAGATCAGTATCTCGCTATCTTTTTTTGATGGTACTGAGTGAACAAGTAGGTGCTTTTGACATCTGTCCTCTGAAGGAGGTGTGGGTGGCAACCTGGATGTTTGGTCCTGTGATAATGAGAGATGTGAATTGATTTAATGATGTTCTGTTTCCTGGTTCATGAGGATAAGGTTTCAGTATTGATTAATTCTGTTGGCTGAGAGAACTGACAAAGAGAGAAATCCTGCCTAGAAATTCAGCCGTCCCCCTGTTGTAAACAGCTGACATGTCCCTTTGCTGCAAAAGGCCTCTTCCATTAAGCAGTTCTGAAACTACAGGTGCTTAATTCTTGGTTTCCATTTCAGGATAAACTGTTATGACGTGTTTGGTGCACAAGCTCCATTTGGTGGCTACAAAGCTTCTGGGAATGGGCGAGAGCTGGGAGAATATGGTCTGGAGGCATATGTAGAGGTGAAAAATGTGAGTATCCCTGTATCCATGGACTTCCCAACGCTCTGCCATAGCTCCAAATTGTATTTGTGCCTGTTGATATAGGCTGGCCTGAAAGTTGCAATTCTTGCTAATGCTTGAAACAAAATTGGAGCTGCACTTCTGAAGTGACTGCAGACACAACTCCATATAACAGAAAATGTTTTAAACTGCTGAGGAAAACAAGGATATGTGACCTAACATTACCAGTGGCCTGCACCACTTGGCACTGTTTAGCTGTTTCTGACTGTAAAGAATGCAAGTGTATAGACTTCTCTGTGAGTTTATTTTGTGAACAGAAAGAGCATATGCTGGGGGTGCATGCCTGTTGGGCAGAAGCTTCTGCAGGTACAAACTGGCAGATGAACAGTGGCACTCATCACTCAAGAGGGGGAATCTGAGCAGTGACCACTAGTACTTAATGCCACTCTGATATGGCCTCAGGTCCGTGCGTGAGACCGAGGTTCCTGGTGTTAGGCAATCCTGTCACTGCAGGCTGAGTAATTTCCTCTAAGACAAGGCAGAAGGGCTATCACACTGCCTGCTTGCAGCTGCAACGTCTAAAGGGTGACAGAGCTCTTGGGCAGAGGTGGTTAGCCCAAGTTACAAGTGCGTAATGATTGAGGGCCTCCAGCTTGTGACTGGTGAGGGGCTGATTTTGTACAAGAGCTCCAGGTGAGAACAAACAACTGTGCCTACTCCCACCTCTCAAGGAGAAGTGGCATCTCTGGATAGATGCTGTGACCCCAGTCTTTGAGTTTCCCCCTCTCTTTGAGCCTTCCAGATGGGTCTTCAGACCAAGGTGATTCCAGTCACTGCCTGCTGACTGGGATGTGCTGTCCTCTGGTTCTGGTTCTCTTCTGCAGGATGCTGCTGCCTCTTGGCCTTCAAGTGAATATAACTGAACACTGTCTCCAGGAAAATAACTTGTGACTTTTCTTTTTTTTTTTCTAGGTGACAATCAAAATTCCACAGAAAAACTCCTAAAGGAGAGCAGCCTCTCCATCCATTTGGAAACACCTATGCAGCTTCATGAGATACAAAGCAAGGAAACCTCTTCTTAACACACACAAAACTTAGATGGAAAATATGTAACTCTGTGTTAAGAAATGTCTCTTTAGAAGGTGCCTGAACGACCTTTTGTTAAAAGAAGTTACTTGGCTTTTATCTTTTTAAAATACCAAATACAGTCAATTGAGTACTAATGCATTACATGGGTGTACTCTTGTTGCGTGCGTATCTGATGAATATGCTTTTTTTTTCAGGAAGTCATTTAAATGCTTGTCTAGTCTGCAGTAGGTTTTATAATAATTCTTTGTTGGCTTACACAGCTAACTCTATACCTCCTCCTTGTCATATACACCTAACGCATACGTCCCTCTTCTGTAAGACAAGTGAACTGAGGCTCGGTTGTCTAACCGAGCAGGAGAACGTCTCAGTGAGAACCTGTGAGGTGAAGGTTTGTTCTCCGTTGCTCCCACCTCCTCTCCTTGTATCTACTTGCAATAAACGTTCTTGTCCTCGTGAAGTTAACCCTGCCTTTGTGGGAGCAGTTTGTGTCAGCGAGCTAAGCAGGAGCTCAAGTACAGGCACAAATTTGTATTTTCTTCCACACATCCATTACCCACCGCCTCAAGCAGTTTTTAAGGTTTTCGCTGACTTTCTGCACAGCCCGCTTTCCCCGTACTGCGTTAACGTTAGAGAGAGCCCTGCATCTGATAACTGTCCCCAGCGAAGCAAGCAGAAGAGCTGACCGTACCAGAACAACAAACCCCCGGGGGGGGGGGGGTAGGTGATCCGTGCCTCAGTGAGCGTGCTGGGGCTGCGGTGGGAGACACCTTTATGGTGTAGTCATTAGAGTCAAGTCCTGCGCCGGAGGGCAGGTGTGCTATGAGGGGGAGACGATCCCCTTCACGAGCGGAGGGTACAAGGCGAAGGCTGACAGACCCTTCCCCGCCTTCCCGCCCCTCCCGTCAGGCGGCAAAAAGCGGCGCTTTCTCCTCACGGCGGCGGGTGGCGCTCGCGCCCCGAGATCTCGCGAGCCTTCGTGCTGCCCCGCCCCCTCTCGCGGCTCTCCCGGCAGGGGGCGGGGCCTGCCGCCCGCGGGGCGGGGCCGGAGCGCAAGGCTTCGCTCCGCCCCTCTGGCAGGCACTGCCCCCGCCCCGTCTCACTACGTCACTAGAAGGCACCCGGCGGCTCGAAGGCCCCGCGGGGGCCTCGATGGCGACGTCGCGTATTTAGGGGTGGCGGCGGCCGCCTGTAAACCGCGCCACCGCAGTGGCGGAGGCTCCTAAAATTCCCCGGGGGGAGCGAGGAGGAGGCGGGGGGGCGGGCTGGCCTCCC